TCTGAGAGCTATCAGATAAGGCTGATCTCATCTTGCAGAATGTCTGAGCTCCAGTGCTACAGGCACAGACTAGTTGTTGGGCAGCTTCTCAAAGGAGCAGCGTGAGAGCTCTGCCCATGCCTCAGGAGAAGGGAGCCAGCTGACATAACCCACACAGGCTGCTGAATGGCTTCACCATCTCCAGTCTTGTCCCTGCCTCTTCTACACCACACCCTCCCCAGCTCCAGCTGCAGAAAGAGCTCTTCTCATAAGGAATTCCTACTTCAGCTGATTTTCTACAACAAATGATCTGTACTTTTAAGGCTTTCACCAGCAGCACTTGGTACTATGGCACCAGTACACCTGGCACTAAGTGCTCACAAAAATAGGTTTGTAAGGCCCTAATTCTGCTCTGCCATCTTACTGAAGTCTCCTAGATCCAAACACCACAACTGTTCTCATTGTGTTCTCCAAGAGAATCATAAAAAAAGAATCAGAAGAATATGAGATGTAATTTCCTGGTTATGGAGTGGTTTATTTTCACTCAATTAAACATAACCAAACTATGCAATAACTAAAGCTGGTTCTCAGAGTGCTGCTAAAAATTCCTCACACAGCTGGCTAGATAGGATTTAAAACTCTGCCCCATTCTTAGAAGTCCATATCTTCAGCAGTTGGAAAATGCTAGGTTGCAAGCAATGCATTCCACAACATGTTTAAGGCACCCATCCTGAGTATTTCAGATTCTTTGTGGTTTTCTTGTTTCAGTTTACATTTAAAAAACAAAACAAACAAAAAAACCCTGAGAAAAACCCCCAAACCACCACAAAACAAACACAGTCCTATCAATTACCTGGGCACTCGAACACTTTCTATTAAGAGTCTCTCACTGGATATCACCACAGTAATTACATTTAAACTATTCGCTGAAGAGGGATTTTTAGATGAGACACAACAGTGTTAAAGGTGCTTTGGAAAGTCTCCCATATCAAGAGGCTCATAAAATGCACAAGACTAAGAACTGACAAGTCTGGAAACATGAGAAAGGCTACACAAAACATGGTTAACTGATTAAAAAATAATTAGTATACTTCAACAAAGTTCACTGTGTAATTTTAGAAAATAGGGGCAGGATGGTCCATATTTAGCACAATAGCACTTTTAGCTGGGTTCAACTCTATCCTATCAACATAAGATAGACCCCTACCATAGAAGGGACATCTAAGCCTATGGAAGTTCTAAAACCTCTCCATAGCATTGAAAGATGCCTGAGCAGCAGATGTACCACAAAATATGATTTTAAAAAAATCAATGAGTTAAAAAAAACCTGATGATAATGACAAATAGCAGGTTTTTTAGTATGACTTTAAATAATTAATTAATTTATAGTTATGAATAGCAACAGGAAGGGAGTTGTACCAACTGAAACATAATAGTCCAAGGCTTTTCCTCCCAGAGATTTAGGGTGTGTAACTACTCAAACAAGTACATGAGGAAGAATTCAGCTTTATAAAATGGTACAAATCTGAGATTTTTGGATATTGTTTTGCTTCAGTAAGAGGATCCAAGAAATTCATTATGTTAAAAGACCTGTCTAGTAGGGCATTACTTCTCCAAAATTTGCCTTCAAAGCAAAATTTAATCCCTCCTGAGAGCTGGCAGGTGTTTTGTTATAAACTTCCTCTAAGATCCTAAAATATATGCAGTTTTTAATAATTTCAAATGTATAACTTGATGGAGGGACATAAGCCTTATTTAGATTTTCAAATTTCTATTCCTTGTTAGTTTATTTTCCACTTGTAAAATGCCAAACTGTGTTTCTAGCTGGAGAAGAGACAGTCTCTCAATCAGTTGAGGCACCCCCAATAACAGACTTTTGGGCCAATTGACAGGATGGGTGCAGTAAACATTTGTCTTGACAGACCTTCAATGAAATTTATCTCCTCCCTATTCCTGCTGTCAGAGTCAAGGCTACACGTAGACAAATGCATAGGGGCAGTACATTTGCTCACTGTAAGAATATAGAGTTGCTTTTTGTACTAAATCCAAAACACCCTTCTTGTGTTTCAAACACATTTACCAAAGGCAGCTCATCACAAAGCAAAATTATCAAACTAGTTAAGATGAACAAAATGTGATTCATTAACTCAGTAACCACTCTTCCCAGAAAGTATAAGCTATGTTGTCAGCTGATAACAATCTAATCAACTCCATTCGCTTCAAACTCGCGTTTTGAAAAAGTGAAAGCTTCTTTCTCCTTACCTTTAATGCAATGCTTCTTCTCAGACACAATTGTTTGCTACTAAAATAATCTATGTCTCACTGTACCTTAGGCTAATTCTGTGTTTCAAAAGGCTGATGTTGTATGTAGAGTGTGGCCAGAGAAAGCCACTATAGCTCTGAAGACCATTCCAGGACTTAGACATTGCTCCAGAAATGAACAACAGAACTTGCATTTTCAGCTGTGAAAATGCTTCTATGGTTCTTCTAGATTTTGGTTCATGGTGTTGCATTTTTCTAAATTTTCTGTAAGACTTCATAATGAAACTCTCTCACCTTGTGCTGTAGATTTTCATTATTATTCTTAAATTAGGTACACAGTGCAAAAGGGAAATGAACAAAGAAATAAGTGAAGCCAAAAAATCCAACCTATATGACTCATTATATGATACACAAACATTTTCTGCATCACTCAGAGAATCTTTCCTACCAAAAGAAAAATAAACTTTTTCTTAAAGTTGCAGAATAGGTAGATAGTTTCCTCTGGATATGTTCCTGGCAGGCAGGTTCTGAGAAACCTTGTTCCAAGAACCCTGTGGACTGAAAACAGCTGTTCAGATTCGCTGCTCTAAACTTTACTCCATGGATACTCCTACTGGCAAGGCAGGCTTACCGGGCAGACAAAATGACAGCTGGTCCATTTCTTCTCTTGCACATAAATCCCATTTAGAATAGGATTAAGATAACTTGAAAACAACCTATTGACTGAACAACAAATCCTGCCTAGCAAGGGGATACAGATGATTCAAACAATTTAAAATATTTGAAGTGAGTTTTAAATACTTTCTTAATAATGGTCACCTAAAAACAGAAGCAACATTCTAGAAACCTTCTTCAGGTTACCTCAATTTACTGGTGTAGATTAGGGAAAGACATATGTTAAATACTTTTCCAGTCTGTAACTATGTAACATCCAGAAGTAGTGTTTTTATAAACACTTAAATAATTTGCAATCATAAATTTACGAGAATATTTTAGATTATAAAAATTCTAAGCAATGCAAACCCATTGATTTTAATTTGATCTTGAAATACAAATCTAATTCCTCCACCCATTGAGTGTAAATCCCATTTATTTCAGAGTACAGATTCTAGCCTCAAACAGACATCCTTACTTCTGATGTAATCCCTTGCTGCTTTAAGTATTTTTTTAAACGTTCTGAAGCCCACATACATAAAATTTAAGATGAACTTCACAGGGGACAAAGGTAAAACAAGTTGGTTTTGGCTTTTTCAATGCTTGGTAAGGCAGGCTATCTTAATTTACAAAAACTTAAACAGAAAGACTGTCTCTCTATTGGCTTCTGCAGGAACAATATATTTATTTCCACGGGGTGGTTGAATTTATTCTCATATTCATAAACAAAACTTATTTAAACTCCCATGTAATTTGTCTCTTGATACACCTCAATATTCTTGTCTTTAAACTTTGCATTTGCTTTAATATTGTAATTTTTTTAAATTTCAGGTGCTGACCAAACAAAGCATATATTAATATGTAAAAATAGAAATTAACCCTTCACTGGAGAATAAAAATGGGAACTTTGCAAGTTTGAACAAAACCTAAGGGTGGATCAGAGTATAAAGAAAACAGTAATGAATCCTTAATCCCCAGTGCAGAGGGGGAAAATCTGCTCATGCATATGGAGGAGTGATGACATACTAGAAAGAAGAAAATTGAAATTAAATATTGGTTTCAATTGAATTATAAGGCTGTAATTTCCCCATCAAGTGTTCAATTCTGTAGCATCTTAGAATTTGCTAATAATGAGCTTGATTTGCCACTAAGCTTCAGGTCACTGTATCAACATGTAAAATAAACCCCATCACCAAATCCTGCTGAGTTGAGTCATGCAGTGAATTAGCAGGAAAATCCCAAACATGCTGACTGACTCTTCTGCTGGTGTCCTTACAAAGACTAAAGTTACATGATACTGAAGGTAACAAAGGGATTCCAGATTCCTATTACACCTTTATGTTGTTTGATTTGCTTAGAATTTTTTCCACAGCTGGATTTTACTAAGGTAGTTCCACTTGTTCTGCAAGTTCCCTAGATTGATTTTGGACGGCTGACTCGCACTCAGGTAAATGGAAAGGTCAAAATGTACACCATCCCTTAAGGCACAGAATGCTGTTTTCAGCACAAGTCTGCAGCAAGTCAGCTGAATAAAACTCCAGCCTGAGAGCCACCAGCATTTTAGATTCATCTTGGTAACACTGCAGTGATGATCCTGAAATCCTTACTTAGACAAATCTTCCCCTGAGTCCCAGATAGCTGACCAGTAATTGCACAGATTAACACTTGCATTTAATGAAAGACCTGACTGCTTAAAGTTTATCTTACTTCAGGTTAGCAGTTCTAAAATTCTTCCAGCTATGAATACAGGTTTTCTAAAAATTTTACCTACAAAACTAAATTGAAACAGCCATCTCAAAGAACTCCTTGCCAATTACAATGCTAATATTACAACAGGTTAAAACATACTGGTGAAATAAGATAAATAATTTAAATAATAAACTTTATCAGTTTAAATAAACTTAATAATTTTAAAATATGCTTATCACCAGAAGCATAGAAAAATAGAGGAAAGAGAAATAGGAACATAATAAAAGCTTACTTCAACCGTGGCCCTGTAAGAGTCTGTTTTGGGCATTTAACAGTTAAAGAAGCCGTGGCATGCTAACCGAGCACATTAAAACAAAGAGTTGGCAGCTCCTGAAGGAAAAGAGCTTGTGCTCCACTGTTCCAACTTGTCAGTCAACTCATGCCAGCACTCTCCTTGTCTGCCTCTTTTCCACACCCTCATTACATGTGTCTGTCTGGACTGATCTGCTCATCTGTTTAGGGACTCTTCTGACAAGTCAAAAATTCTGCCTCTTTCTGCTCTGGAATTGGATCAAATCACCTCAGCTTTTTTTTGTAGTCCCACCAGGAGGTTTTTTGCTTATGGTCTCATTCTGTTTGCCTTCCCTACTTGTCTGTTTTTGATTTGTAGAATGGAGGAAGCCGAATTGCTGAAAGAAAGATTCCAGGCCATAACAGTAAGTGCTCATAGTTATAATTCACTATTTTTAAAAAAAAGGCTTAGAAATAATATTATTAATTAGCTGCTGTGTGTTTGCTGAATAATGATTTATCTCAGGACAGTAAAAGCAAATACATTGTCTGCTTGAAATTGTTACTTAATTCTAGTTTATAAGATATTGCTTTAAGACAGCTAAGTTGACTGTACTGACTTTATTATGGGTTGTATCAATTGTATTGCACTTAAAAATTAAATTCAAAGCAGTGAAAGTATGTGTGCAAATCACTACTGGACAGTCTAAAACACACATTACTGTCATCATACTGAATGTTTGCCTGAAGGTCAAAAGGCAACTAGAGAATTCCAGAACAAATCAATTTTCACATTTCACAATGTGAGATTACAGATTTTTCATTTGCATTGTGGAATTAAATACAATTTCAGAATTATTTATGATCTGTCATAAGTATTGCTGTCTGAAAAGTAAAAAAAGGAGAAGCTTGGATTAAGCAAATTCCTACCTGTCAGTTTTCAGGACTCACTGAAGTTTATGCTGGTGCCATTAGAAAACATTTTCAGTTTCTCTTCTAAAAGGAAATCTGAGTGATGATTTCTAATATGTAAAAGGAACAACTAAACTGTTTTTAAACTAATACAATCTGATGTTATAAAAATTGGCTGAAGCCAAATTCTCCTCTGATTTGATCTCCAACTGAACTTATTCGGTTACAAAAGACTTAAACTGAAACAAAATTTGGCTCTCTGAGATGAAAGGAAACTTCCAGAAGGACCACTCATTCTCTTGGTTAAAAACAAATAATGGAAAAAACGGTATTTGTCACACTCCTAACATGATAGATTAGTTGTGAAACACTACTAGCAGACTAAATGGTGGGCAGAATTAAAAAATAACTTACAGGAATAAAGAAAAAAAAAGTGAGAAGGCGTAACTGGAAATCTATGGGACTCTAATAGGTTGTGTTTTAATTCAGTTGGGTTTTAATTATGGCACTTGATAAAAGCCAACAGGACCATTTATAGTATTTACTTGAGACCTGACACAAACCCACAGTAAGGTAATTTGAAATGTTTTAGAGGGTTTAGAGTACCTTTGTTTGTTTAATTGCAATGTTGCCTGAACCAAGGTCATAACCTGGACTTTGTCTCTAGTGTATGGACTCAAAAGATAACAAGAGCTTTGGCACTCCAGAGAAGTCCAGGCCTCACAATGTTTTATGTTCCCTGGGACCTCCAGGAGCAGGAATGGAGCAGCACTCTTGGCTGATGAGGATGCCTATGAACATACTGAGGTTGGCATCCTCCAGCTGCAGCTTTGCTTCCAAATGAATACCGGAGCAGTATTGTTTTAAGAAACTGGGCCTTCCAGTGTCTTGCACTGGAAGAAATAGGAAATCATATTTGGGTTCAGCCTATGACTTCATTTACCACACTTGATGTGTAAAGGAGTTAATTGCACTCTACTTTGATCAATCCAGAGCATTCAGATGAAACACTTGGAGTGTTCTGACTGCAGAAACAAAGTAGCCTAAATAAGGTGAAGTAATCAGCCCTAACAACCTGCAGTAAGAGTAGTCCAGGGAAACAACACACTGCAGTTACACTAGCAAGCTCCTCCGTGGCTCTGGGGAGGTTTGGCTCAAGTAAAACACCCGGGAATTTCAAGTGCCACCTACCAGATGCTTGCTGTATAGGACCTAACAGGATAGGGAGGGGCACTCAGAGCAGTCAACAACTGCACCTGCACTAAACCTTATTGGCTTCTGTTGTTAAATACCTGTCTTCTTGACAGCAACAGAGCCAGTAGGAGTTTTCAAAGCCTTTTCTCCATATAGCAAACAAAAAGGAAAACATGATTATTGTTTTTGTTCATGATGTTGTTGTTATTAAATATTTTGATGCTCCCACAGCTCTGAATAGGAAACTTCTTCCTTTGTTATGTAGCTACCACCTGCTGCTGGTATCTAAAATATAAAAAATCAAATGCCTTCATTTTGTTAGCAAGACTTTCATATCTTAAAATATGAAAACTGTAATGATATTGATGCTTAATGAGTTTTAATATCTGAAAAATTACATGAAAATAAAAATACCTTAGCTAAAACATTAGCTGCTCCATGGAATTTGACAGTATGTGCCATTAGCCAGGGGACTAAGACTACCAACTTTGGCACACTGTAGAACACTGACACAAGGTAATGGACTTGGCAGAAAAGGTATCTCACAAGACTCTGCTCTGTGGACGTGATTCCCTTTCTTTCGGACAGATCCAGTATAGAACACAGTTCATTTCTGTGCACAGTCGGAAGGAGTCCCACATGTCTCAGTAGGAGTGAAAATTAACACCAAGTCTTACCTTGCACAACAGAAAGGAATGGCTGAAGATGCTCTGTCATAAAAAGCAAATCCTGCTCACATTAACAAGAGCACAGTAAGACAGGATTCAAGGACTTCTGCCAGCAACATGAGTATCTGCAGGGGCAGAGTGTGAGGTTTAATAGAATCATGGCTCCCTTAGCTATCCAGGAATAAACATTTATTCCATTAGATGTACAGTCAATGCTTCATAAAGTAAGACAGGATGTGCAGACAGAGCATAGCAGAATGCACTGTAGAAAGTGTTCTAGCAGGTTTTTAAAAGTTATTTTGGCACACAAGGTTCAAAAATATTCCTCATATTTCTTAGCTTCTGGAATTAGACTGAACTATATAGATAGACTAGACATATAAAAGACATTCTATTTCAGCCAATTTAATCTGGATAATTGTATAATGGATATTTAACACCATTCAGTGAAATTAAAACATGCTAGAACACCAAAGGATGGATACAACAAGAAAACTTTCAGAGAAAAAACATTGGACATAAAAGAAATATGGACCTCTAAAAAAAAAAAAAAAGGTAAAAGTTTCCTTACTGAATAGGTTCCTTATTATACAGCTAGTTTAAAATGTACTATTTTATGCCTTTATACTCAGATTTCTTGCTGCACAGTAGTTTATGTACAAATACTCACTTCAGACTGGCCAAAATCTTTTTACATCTCAACTGATGAAAAAGAATATTCAAATTGACTTAGAATATTTTATAATAGTATAAACCAAGTAACAGTTCATTCTCTGGCTAAGAATGTATCCAGATCTTTAGTAAGTGCAAAAAGAGTTTTCCTTAAGAATTGTAATAACCTGTAAACACATGCTTTCGTCACACTGCTCATCCAATGACGGGTTATTTAAAGGCCATCTATACCATAAGATCAGGAATATTTCCTAAGAAAAGTGTGAAGATCAGAGACCAGATACTCTGTCTTCAGAATCAGGACTGGCTAAGAAAAATTCAGCATAGCAGCTTTTGGATAAAGTGTCACACAAGGGTCATTGCAGAAAAATTACATTGTAGGAATCCTTAATCAGTAACTTTGTTAATTGCAATAAGGAGCATTGGCAAAACACAAAACCACTGCAGAGATAAAAATAGCATATATTTTGAGGAAAGATCCCCATCTGTTCTGTTTGGAGTATTAAAAAGGCATACTAACACCATCAAGGAAAAATTGTAAAGGGTTTATAAATAACTACCACACTTTGCAGACTCTGAGAGATCAGTGACACTCTGATGCTCACCTCCTAAATCCCAGCATAGTATCAGTAGTGCCTGGCCAGCCTGTATCCTGCCCTCGGTCCCCATAAAGCTTGATGGCTTCTTCCACTTCCTTTCCTATCCTTCAGAAAAGTGTCCTTAGAGCCTGTGGCCCTGCTGCTAATTTCTAATTTCCAGTAACAATGAAGTGATTCAGCCAAGCACACCACTCTTCCCGTTTCCAAATCCCAGATCCAAGGGAAATGGTGGAGAACAACTCCCAGAATTATGTCCAGCACTTCCTAACTGACTTTCTCCAGTCCTTAGACACAGCTGGTTCCTCAGGTGGGCTGAAAGGGCAAGGCTCTTCCTCCATGAGGAGGTTAACTCCTTCCTAAACCATACTTGTCTGAAAACAGACTCTTTATATAAAAGCTACCACCCTTTTTAGCAGAGCCAAGCTGTTCTAATTGAAAAGAAAGATGGATTAGCCTCCAGTCAACAAACATTTCTGCACAGGACAACAAACGCTTCCATTTATTTCCCTGAAATGTATCAAGAAACAAGTACAAATGTTTCTTGATTGGCACATGGCAAGGTGCCACACCCAATAACAGAATTTTATACCATTAAGGCTAACCAAGATAATAGCCTACTAATACACCTTATTAAAATTACTTTCCTTTGGCATGATATCTTTCCCCCTGGCTGCTGAGGACACAAGGTACTAAATCAGTGTTTGGCCTCACACAGAGGAGCCACAAGGTTACTCCATGTGACAGTGCTATCCAAAAACAGGAGAGGTTCAAGCACTGCCAGGGTTCAGACATTGTTTACCCATTTCCTTTTTTCTCTAATCTGTAATAAAAAGGATTAAGGTGGCACTAGAATAGACCAGCAATACATGAGGTTTTTCCTTCTAAAGATCAGCAGCCATGAAAACAGCCTGAGCACAAGCAAAATTTTTTTTAAACTGAGAGGTAGAAACAACATTTATGAAGTACATTATATTTATATTTTCTCATGTTTACCATTATTTGACTAACAAAATAAATTTCTTTTTTTATTCCTCTTTATTTTAGCTATTAGCCACAGGATACATAAACTCAGTGCTGGATTCACTGACAGCCCATTTCGTTTCGTGATGTATCACAGCTGCTCAATGCAGACCATGCAGACTCTTTCCTCTCCTAAATGATCGATGTGTGGGCTGCCTTAGGAATTTTGGTCAGGATCCATTTTTAGTCTCTGCATATACAATTCTGCTCAGCTATACTTTCTTCCTGTTTTTGCCCCCCTGCCCTTCCCAAGACGAAATTATTTTTATTTTGCCTCATCCCTCCTTTGTGCTCATTAACACATTTAAATGTACTTTGGAGAAAGAGCAGTGGAAACCACACCTGTGAAGGATCAAGTTATTGCTGCAAAGAATTATGAGACTAAAGATATAAAGACATTAAAAGAATTATGCCCTGCCTAAGCACCACATAAGCTTTAAAATAAGGCTTTATTTGCATGAATTGATTTCACCCTACTGAACAACACTTACATAATAATTTTATTAACAAGTAATTTCTCTAAACAAAGTTTTATTGTTCTTAATTTGTAGGATAAAAGAAAACTGCAAGAAGAAATTACACAGAAACGTCTAAAAGTAGAAGAGGAAAAAATGAAACACCAACATTTAAAGGTAAGTTTAGTGTTAGATTTATGTAACTAAAGATAGCTTCAAGTCACACAGCATGAATAAAGGTTGGTGATTTCAGAATGCAAATCTTCATGCATTTAAGTCATGCTTTTACTGTCAAATTTTCACAGCTTTGTGGAGTCTTGCCAGGACTCCATTTGACTTTAATAAGCATCACTCCTTGAAAAAAATTACACCAGAGAGCTAATGTTACTTGATCACTTTCATGGCATAAAATGAGATCATAACCAGGAAAAACTCACAGATGAAAATTAAGCCTCACATTTCAGACTAGGGTGTGTTCACTCCCTAACCCCACAACAGCAACCTCACTTGGTACAGGGTGCAGCACAATCATGAGATCTGAGTTTTTTCCTAGAAAAAAAAACCCCAGCCTATTTGGCTGTAGGCTTCTGTCAGCTTGTTTAATTATTCTTTAGTAAAATAATGCTGTTCCTTTGTATATTCAACAACAACAAAAAAGTAAAAATGTTACAAATATTTTTCTCAAGTATGGCCTAGTAAACTCAGGATTACAAAGTCGAAAGGTATAAGAAACCTAAAGATCCATCTCTGCAGAGAACTGAAATTGCAGTGATTTCTACTCAACACAACTATTCTTAAAATATTTATAGCAGTTTGGCAGTACATGTCATTTAGGGAGATGAGACAAAAATCTATGCTTCTAGAAATATGCAAGACTTGGTCTTTTACATACTCTTTTCATTATGTGAGCAGGTAAAGTGTCTCAAGAAAGATATATTGAATCTAACACCAGGAGCATTATGCATTTCCTCCAGCAAATGTGAGAGAAGCATATTTAAAGTAGACTCCTCTTCAAAACAGATACTAGATCCTGGGTTTCATCCACCCTTTTCTTTTGTGTCAAGCCAAGAAAATGAAAAGCCATGATAAACTAGTTCACTGGGCCAGGCAAGCCAACAGACATCCATTCCCAAGTTTTATTGGAAGGTGGTTACTACAAGGACAGGCTTGACCATTTGTGTAACATCTTGTCTAAAAGGGAGGGGAATATCTTTTCCAAGTCCTGTAAACTTTGAGTAGCAAACATGTGACTCCTCCATCATGGTACATGGCTACATTGAGTACTGCAAGTTATATTTCAACTTTCCATGTCTATAAATCCAGAAAACTCTTTTGGCCTTCTTTATAGAGGGATAAACTGATCTGTTGTAGACAAGCAGCTAATCCTCACTACTGCTGTGTGCTTAAATGCTGTGTGCTCTGTGTGCAGAGCCCTAGGGCAGTTTCCTTACAGACTTAGTATCTATTCATAGGTAAAATTAATAGGTTCAGTGGAGTTTAACAAGTTAAGAAAACACAAACCAACATTGCACTTATTCTGAAGAAATTTTATAGAGGTTTCAGACAGGCTAAAACACTCCTTGAATACTACTGAAATACTACTGAAATGGTTTTACATTGGAAGAGAACAGAGGATGTGATTTCTCTGCCTGTTGCATGAGAAATCTTACAGATATCACACAGAAAAGCTTTTAAATTAAATCAGTCCTATTGCATATACAAGGCAAAGCAAGGATCTGTTGAGGAAATTATTCACTTGGAAAAGAAGAATCAAGCATACATTTAAATACATACTTACATACACACGTATGCTGTATAAATGCATATAAATCATTAGTTATTTGGAGCACACAAAATGTACACTACTTTTTCCAGCTTAGGAATAAGACAGGCACCTAATATCAAACACATTAGTACATGAACATCTTTTGCTTTATGCCCCAGAAGCTTTGTCCCTTATTGAACATTCTTGCTTCAGACAAATTCAGGTATTTCAACATAGTCAAACAAAAGGATCCAGTACATAAATTGCTTTAAAACAGATTTAGACTTCTAAAATATTTAAACACTGCAGTAAATTTTATTGAGGGGTCATTTCCCTAGCAATTCAGGCTGATTCCACTCATTTATACACTTACCAGCTTTGTGCATGGTGAAATCCAGAGCTCTATGATCTATTAACATAACTCACACCTGTCCCCTAGGATACTATTGCAGGTTAGTAAATCTCACTGTCATAGAGATGTTCGTATTAGCTGGATGTCACTATCCTCTTCCTTCCTATTTATAACCCTTAGCAACAGGTTTATTAGAAGGCTGTTGGTTTGGTTTGTTGGGTTTTTTTGACTGGAGTTTTTCTTTGGTATGTTTTTTGTTTGTTGCATAAAAAAGGAAGTTTTAACTTCCTTTTTGCAAATAGGAATCCCTCCTCTGGCTTCCCAATGACTTTCTTTGTCGTCCCCAAGCAAACTTCTTACTAGAAAGACACAGATGAGGTATCATGACAGATTTTGGTTAACTGGTAGAAGGAACATTTATTCTCTACATGTGCACTTCTCTCAGATGAAGCAGAGGATATGAAAGCAAATGCACCTGTGTGGACAGGGCTTCACAGAACTGCAAGGGGTATTGGGGCTGCTAGTGTGGGTACAGGGGAATTTTTTATCCAGTATTTCTAGATGCACCAAATCTAATCCTTCCTTCTACCTGGAATCCTTCTCACAGAAACAACAAGGGAAAGGACAAGACAGAATTGTTTGAAAAGTGCTGTCAGCACTGATGTGCATGCACTTTCTAAGAGCTTTTACAGTTTAGCTTATTAATTTTCAGGCTTCTGACATGCCTGAACTCCATTACTACTACCTTGCAGGTGCTTGTCACACACCTCTTCTTTCCAGTAGTTAACATTGTTGAACCACAATTTTTTTGTTAAAAAACGTGAAAAATATTTATGTCGTCTCCAAAACGGTAAGGCAAACTGCCATATCCCTGGGAAAGCAAGATCCATAAAATCAAAACACCTTTGCTTCCCAGTGAAGGATGAATCTTTCAGTGCAAGTCCAGCCTTGCTAAAGATGGTCATGGAGTACACACTGTAAATTATTCAGAGAATCTGCAGGATATTGTCATAGCACTTTTGATGTGACCATGAACCACAAAACAAAGTGATTACTTCCCAGCACTCTGGCCCTTCTCAGGGTTTTATCACATCACAGTGTACAAGTCTCCCTTTCCCTTCACACACAGAGCCTAATGCAAAACAAAGGTGCTTTCACGTCAGTGTTATAGCACAAGCACAACCTGGCTCAGAGCTAGAGACACTTTGTCATGGAAGGAAATGTTAGACAGCAGGAAAAATCCTGTCCGGCCCAAAGCAGCTGCTCCTGCACTGCTCCAGCAGCGCTGGCTTGTGTCAATGCCTGGATGGAACAGACCTGAAGGCGTCTTTTATTCAGAGGGTGTTTCCAAACTACACAATGTGTCTTTCTTTCAAAAACGGCCAATTAAATGAAAAAGTTTACATGGCATTTAGTTGGGAGCAGCAGCAAACTGCTCTAGAAACATGGAAAAATAACACTATTGTGTTATGCTTGTATTTAGGGAGTTTGTTTTCTTGGGCCCTACCCTATACATACAGAAGCTTTTGTTGATTTCAATAGATGGTATCAATTTCTGAGGTCTAGAGTGCCAGTCTCACTCCAAATCTTACAAAGAATTATAAAAGTATTTCTGGAGACATAAGCACTAGACAAACATTGTTCCAGCCAAGATGAAAACATGCCTTTTCTAGAAACCCTACTTATCATTAAAATCTAAAGAGTTTGACAGAAAGGGAATTAATAACTATGTGCCCTCCAGCTAGAGAACACAGTATTTTGTGGTCAATAAGAGTTGTGCCAACATCAGACTACCTGCATCAACCAGATCACATAAAAATATACTATATAAAATCTGCATTTATTTCATTAGAGCCTAAAACACAACTACCACAAAGTGCTGCCAATTCTACAGACAGAGTCAAGGCTCAGGACATCGGTTTTGAGCAACCTGTGTTTACCAAGATTTCCTAGGATCCAGTGTTGAGAGAGACAGAATATTGTCCTGCAGGCTAAGGCAACTGTAAACATTGCTCTTACATCCCACAAGTAAATAAAATGAAAAGCACCATGGAGTGCACAAACTTCTCAGCATGCCTGTTTTAGACACACTTTCTATGACATTGTATGTCAAGTGGAAAATTGCTTTTAACTGCAGTAAGGTGCTACATATATATTCCTCTGCCAGTTGGGCCTCAGTAATAACCTCATGGAAAGTACACAATAAATAGAAAAGTGTAGGAAGCAACAGTTTAAGTGACTCAACACAGGATGCAGGCAGGGATTCCAACAGCCCCTGCAAGCAGCACTGAGGTTAATGCAGCATTCTCACCAGTGCTGGGCACACTGCCTCTAGAAGCAGTAGTCAAAATTCAATGTAATCTGCATCCACATCCTGCAATTAACAAAATTGTATAGGAGGGAAAAATCCAAAAACTTAATATGGAAATTAGTTCAAGGAATCTAAATTGGAACTGGGACATTCTTGGTTAAGACTTTATATGTGTGTTCCTTTTTTGCCTGTTGAAACAGTATTTCTAAAGAGTCCCAAGTCCTTCCCCAAGGCAGCAACTGCATTTATACCCCTGAGTTAGACTGAAAGGAGCAAAAAAGAGTGTAAGAAAGTTGGCATGGTTTACAAGTTTTAGTCTACAAATATGAACCTATCTCCAAGAATATTTTTTTTATACCAGGGATATTTTTGAGAGCTCTGATGACTTTCAAGTACCACCTTTCCCAGTGTAAAGCAGCTGTAGGAAGCAGTCAGTGCATACAACCATGTTTTTCAGAATTTGAAAACACAGCTGAGAGACACACTTGCCTGTACACATGCAATACTCCCATTTGTAAGCCACCACTGCACAGAAAGAACTCCACAGGCACTAACCAGGTCAGGATCTAAATACCTGAATTCTGGATTTCCCCTGCAACAGCAGCTCTAAATACACAGCAGGTCTGCTGAACCACTAACCAGGCACCAGCTGCCCACGCTCCACCTTTCCACTGCCCCTCTTACCCCACACATCTTCACCAGCCGAAATGCGAGTTCACTAACGTAAGTACACAAGATCCTTTGAAGTTCCAGGGGTAGCACTGCATTGCTAACTCGCTAGAGATCTCTCACTCTTATACAATCTTATTTACAGAAACTTCTCATCTTTTATACCTCCTTCTAGAAGCTATGCAATGCCAGATCCCAGAAATTAGGCGGCTTCTGTTGTGCTTCTGACTGGAACCTTTCGCATGAGTCTGTCACATGTATGGTTGTACAACTGGTTTGCTTTATTGAAGACACACACAGCACTGGATCCACTTACCAGTATTAATCTGCTATGGACAACAGCTGACATACTCTACATTTTTGTTGGATGAACTAATAAAATGGGACATTGTTCCTAAAGATTTTACTTTCAGTCAATCTCAAAAAGCTGTTTAGTATTTCTCTTCCAGTGGCACTCACTGCAGTCACGTTGCCTTATGCTGGATATATCACAATGCTGTGGCTCACATCTGTGGCATCAAGACAAATACAGCAAATGGTTAAACACCCTAACTTTTAGCATTCTCTTACTTGTCTATTTTCCCCCGTCAGAAAAAGGCCATGAGAGAAAAATGGCTCTTGGATGGGTTTAATTCTATGACTCCAAAAGAAGAAGAAGAAATGCAAAAGCAGAATCAGGAGGACCAACAACGGACTCATGAGCTGGAACAAGACATTTTCAGGTAGGGAAGTACCCCTGTCCTTGTGTCTGGGTTAAAATGGTCCCATATTAAAAGTCCTACCTCATTTTGTAGAAGATGAAAATGTCAACAAGTGCTAAAAACATGCAGAGTAAAGCAATTTTTGTCATGTTTTCTATTCAGTCAGAATTAGAGAATACAGAATGCAATTTTCCATACCGTAAATTGCAACAAACTGCACAGTAACTATATTGCACAGTATTTGTTTCTCTAATTCCAGATATCCTTGCCATGCTTTCTTCGGTAGATAT